TGTGATTAGCCTAACGAGGCAGTGTAATTTGTTTTTTGCTATTTACCAATTAAATGACCAACAACAGGATGGCCAAAATTATTATAGGTTCTCTTTAAACATTTTACATTTCATGTTTTTATGTACAATCTATTCATCTTTATTGTCACTAGAAAGACTTTTACGTTGGCCTCAAAATGAAAGAAACATTTCAACCTATGCAATAATACTGATAATGTACCTGTAAAAATCAAAGAACAAGTTTAAAAATAAAAAAGAGAAATGAAAGTCTCTGACACACAAGTTCTTTTTTTATTGTGGTAATAGACAGGCAGAAATTCTCCAAGTTATGGTTTTTAAGCTATCGTAAATGCTGTTTAGATCACTTACTATTGCTCTATGATGTTTAAAAGTTAATCTGCAGAATCACCTGGTCACCATAGCACTGGCCCTGGTCTTCTGTTTTAGGGAGGCTCCTTTCCCTTGCAGATTCCTATGAAGCAGGGGCGTCCCGAGGCCGGGTGTCACCCGGAGCGGACACCGTGTGACACCCTGCCGTTTCATCATCGCGCACGCATGGCCATCTAATTGACGCCTGCCGGCAGCCAGCTTGGTGATGAACGCCGGCAGAGAGAGGAGGGGACGTTCAGCCGGCGGAATGAGTTATGCCGCCAAGTCCCCTCCTCTCTCCTGACACTGTCGGGCTCTCGGTCCATGACCGAGTGCCCGACTTTTTAGAGAGGGTGACACCAAAATGACTGCCAGTCATTTTGGTGTCACTCCATCCAATGGTGTCACCCGGGTGCGGGCCGTCACTGCTATGAAGCCACCCTTGTGTGTGCTAGTGAGCTGCATGTGTCTCCACAATTACACGGGCATGGCAAGGCAATCGACTCCCTTCTTTCCTGCTCCTCCCTCCTATTTCCTCCCATCACCAAGTTGGTAGACGGAGGGCTGCTGGAGATTGCTGTGCCTTGTGATCATGATGACTGTAAATACTTTGCTGAGCAATGTATATTTGTTTGATCTGGATGCATTATTGGAAAAAAATTTGAGAGTTTAATACTACTTTAAGCCAACAGAACTTCCTTTTTTTCTTTGTTGTGTTAAATACCTTTCAAGAACATAGCTTTTGTTTTACTCATTGGACAATACAGTAGATGCTTATCATTTAAAGTTAGTTTATTTAAACAATTATGACAACACTGTTACTATATACTGAAAGCCACATAAGTTCCCCATACATCATTATATGACTTATGGTTATCAGGATGTGGGCGGCTCTGTGGAACTTTTTTGGGAAGTGATTTCTCTTTTTGCAGATGCTATTTTGCATGATGTAGTTGGACAAGTGTGTAACATGAGCACTGAATATATTATGGAGATCAAAAGTGCAAAAAAACAGAGCACAAAAACTGAAGAAAAACTGTCATAGTTTTCTGTCAATTAATCATTGACTACAACATTTTAAAAATGTTTATTGTGTATATACATTTCTTGTAATTTTTTGTTTAACAGAAATATTTAATAGAGGGTACAACTATTTCCTTTTTAGACTGTCTCTTTTTATCTTCATATGGCCCCCTATGACCAGAGCATGCTGAGAGAGGCAGTGTGGGGGGAGAATGAGTTATTTTTCTGACTCATCCAACGGTGTGTGACAATAAAATCTAACCTGTATAGCTGAGTATAAAAACAAACCTTTTTCCAGTAAAGCAGTTAATAATAGCCTGGTAAACATGTGAAAAGAGCCCATTGCTCCACATGCTGGCTATTAGGGATGCACAGATACTTTTCGAGTACCAGTGCAGATACTTGGCATTTTCATGAGAACTACCGGGGTTGCAGAGGTTGCAGCTGGGACCTGGCTCTGGTGCTCCATCACTGCCCTGAAATCATTAGTCTGTATTGTTTTAGAAAAACTGTCACATGACAATAAACAAAAATGTATCAGTACTCGTACTTGTAAGTACTCGGCCAGTACCAGTACTCGTACTCGCAAAACTGGTATCTGTGCATCCCTTTATTTATACTTATAAAAACAAAATCATACATTATTTTTTTTTTTTTTAAGCAAGTAATTTTTATTGCAATTTTTATGGCAATACAGAAGTGTAAGACATAGATTAAAAGAAGACTCCTAATAAAAGGAGTCAACATAGTACTTGAAAAACTAAACAATGCATTGAAAACATAACGAAATTACAAAGCTATATAATCTCATGTCAGGGACCTAAGCCATTTTATACCAAAAGTGTGTAAATTGACAGTTACAGTCCAAATTCCAGAATATTTGATGTATGGGTAACAATTTATACTTGTAAGAACTTGAACTCAGGTGATCGACATGAATGGTTTGTGAGACGGATCAGAATCGGGCAATAGAGGGTACGATACTGTAGTAAGCATGTGAGTGCGGAAAAGGCTTCAGATTATCACGGTTATTATGAAGAGAATGTGGGAAACAGGTCGTCATTACCTGAATGTGTGGTATATATGAGTGAGGTACCAAGGCTTAGGTGTGATGACTCAAAGTACAGCAAGTTTACCCAAAGAGCCGGTAGATTGGGCTTGGAGGTACCATTTGGAACGTTTAAATACAGACATAATGTCCTTAAGCTGAAGCAGTGTGCATTCAGATGTCAAGAAGTGCGTCCAAGTATGGAAAAACTTATCTGTGCGGGCCAAATTATGCTTAGTGTCTAATTTATGGATTAACATGAGCTGATGTAGGGTGCCCTTGACCTCCAGCAACGTGGGAGTGTGTTGGGATAACCAATGTAAGAGAATATTCTTTTTGACAGCCAAAATACAATAATGTTCCCATTGGGATAAGAGTGTTGGCGAAGACTGTGACATGTCTGATGGGGAATGAAAGAGGCATAAAGCTGGGGAGCAATCTCTAGGTATCCCTGACAGGAGCGACCTGTACAAATCCCAGGAGCCCCATGTGCTCCTTACAAATTACAGCTGCCTCCTAATTTTTGAATTTTTCTCTAGTCTAGTCTTGGAGCTCAAAAGTATCGGTACATGTACTCGTACTTGTACCGAGTACTGTACTTGGTATCTGTGCAACCCTACTGGCTATGTAAATCTCAAACAGTCATATGCAATATTTCACATTTGCCTGACTGAAAAACATGAAAATATTTTATAAAAATGAACCACAAAGAGTTTGGTTATGGGATATATGCCCTGAAATACTTCAACGAAGTGTACGGGAGATACATTGCAAGTAGACATGTGCGATTCGTATAGTTCCAAAACGAAATTCGGACGAATTTTCGGAAATTCGGACATTCCGATGTATCCGAATTCCGAATTACAGTTATAACGAATGCAAACGAATCCGAATTTCCATTTCCGAAATTCGGTAGCGGTAGTTTGTTCGAACGTTCGTTTAGTTTTCGTTTCTTATTCGTTTCGTTCGTTGCAGCAAACACATTTGAGAAGGAGAAAAATATTTTTCCCCCTCAAATATCACTTTGCTGCAAACGAACGAACGAATGAACGAACCGAATAAGAAACGAACACGAAACGAACGTTCGAACGAACTACCGCTACCGAATTTCGTCCGAATTCCGAATCCGAATTGACTTTCACACCCGAATCCCGAAAAACGAAATAACACAAATCCGAATTTAAAACGAAACGAAAACATTTTTTTGGCAGTGCACATGTCTAATTGCAAGACCTGTCTCTCTCCCCCTGCTGCTACCTGCTCCATTCTAACTGGCAAATTCTGGAAGTTACCATAACAGGTCGGCACTTGCTTGTAACAGAGCTGCTGCTGTGAAAAACTGAGCTTCTGAACAGTGTTTGGAACGCTGTTCAAAAACGTTATTCAGAAATGCAATGTGACAACATTATTGTCATGTTGTATTTGCTGTTTTATTCATCTCACCTTTGATCTGAATATGAAGCTAGTTAAAGCAACCCTACCAGTAAATAAACTTATTTGAAGTCATTTTTTTTTCTACTTGATCTTTTTTTTTCTTATGCTACTCCTTTTTCACTACAGATTACATAGAAAAAAAATAAAAATATTATTTTGGCAAGACAATATCACCAAAGGATAGCCTTGCTAATCCCCCGCCCTCCAAAAAAAAAACAAAAAACATGTATTATTTTGTTACCTTAAGTAATTAAAAGGTTTTTGCCAAATCAAAAGGACTATATCAGACTATATCAGTAAACATTTTTCTAGGCCATAAGGGGTATAATACAAATGTGTGAGCTGAACTAGTTAATAAAAGGAAATATACTAATAAACCAGAGCAATGTATTCTCTTTTGGGTGTACCCATACAATGTTTACAAAGACATTAAAGCAAAACAAACGACAAACGCACTCAACAATTTGTTACCAGTTATACAGTAAGGTGCACACGAAATGGGCTTTGAACAGTAGAACAGTAGAAAGGCATCATGGCACACTCACAAACTAGCATGTAAAACAACTTGTCTCACCACTAAGGATAATAACAGAGGTTTGGATATCTGGATACCTTAAATGATGTCTCTTAATCCGATCTTCCTCCTCTGTCATTGTCCTTAGTGGTGAGACAAGTTGTTTTACATGCTAGTTTGTGAGTGTGCCATGATGCCTTTCTACTGTTCTACAAAGACATTAATTCGCAAAACTGACACTTACATTCGTTCTGTGCGTTAGGGCAAAATCAAATGTTTTCTTATTCAGAATTAATGCAATTGTTGGAAAATACCACATTATGAACACTAAATGGAACCAAGTAATATAGGAAAGAAATACTTATTTCCTGTGCGCCTTTGCTTTATTGAGTGGCCAATAATGCAGTATTGTCCAACAATTACATTTATTGTGTACAAGAAAACCTTTGATTTCGCCCTATACGCAAAGAGCAATGTAAGTGTCAGTTTCACAAAATGAATGGCACTGTAGACTTTTTATAAATACACCCCTTAGTGTCTGAGCATGAATTTCTTGTTACTATTTCAGTCTTTCTGCTTATCAAGTGTTTTTTGTTAACCTTTTATTTCTAGGCCGGCCATTTTGGGAAGTGCTGAAAACTTCACGGTTTTGATAAAGAACAATATTCACTTTGCAGCCTTTAATTATACCACGTAAGTAAAACCTGGCTTGATCTTTAGCACGTTTGGCTGAACAAATGACCCATTACATGTGATCTGGGTATTTGTTACCTGTGGCAGCTCATTTGGAAGACAAAAACAAAATCAGAATAAGCCAGAATAGCTCTAATCCAGATACTCTTCTGTACAGAGACTGATGTGACTGGGTCAGTGTTCTCTGTACATCACTGTGGTATATGCCAGAGCTATATAAATGCATAATAATAGTGTGTGACTGGGGGGGGGGGGCATTAGTATGTAAGCTCCTCTGTACAGAGACTGATGTGGCTGGCTCAGTTTTCTCTGTACAGCACTGTGGTATATGTCTTCAGAAAAAAATTGTTGCAGGTTTGGCTTGAAGGAAAGGTGGATACACCTTTAATGTCCACACGTCGTACCCTCATGGCAAATGACAGCTCCCCAGACTGGCAGCTGAGAAGTAAACAAAAAGACGGGTTTTCTGGTGATGTTATTGACCAGATATGGCCACCAGCATCCCCGCCCCTTTGTTTACATTCACATGCTAGCCGAAGAATCTCCCAGCTAACAGCTGAACAACTAGGTGTATCATTGGTTGCTAGGACACGGGAAGCCCTGCCTTGCCCTTTTATATCTGTCCAAGATCCTTTTCCTTGGCTGCCCACAACTCAACTTGGCCATTCATTCTATTCCACATTTGTTAGGGCCAAGTGTTGTGGTTTTTGGCTTTCTCCAGTCACCAAAGACTTTGCCCACGGTAGGGCTTTAACAGTTACTTAGTCAGTATTGTTCTTGCTGGGAAAGCAGTGCAGGAAATTGCAGAGACATCACAATCAGTAGCTATTTGCTTTATATTAACCACCTCCCGTCCATGGCCGTTCGTGAATGGCCGGACGGGAGACTTACAGGAGTAGGAGAGTGCCGCACACGAATGGGGAAACTTTGAGCATGTTAACAGCCAGCGATGGCTGTTTACATGCAAGCGATTAGGCGTCTCTAGAGAAGCCCGATCCCCCGTACCTCCACCGGTGCCGCCGCTGCCAATCCTGAGATGCGCTGTGCCCATGCGGCTGGGCCCGGCACGGCGACTCTGTTAATGGAGATCAAAGGGAGATCAGTACACGATCTCCCTCTGATCTCCTCTGCTGTCCCCGAATGCAGGAAGTCATGTATATTACATGACTTCCTGCATTCAGTGTCACTCTCAGGTTACAGATGCCGGAGAGAAGCAGATGAAGCAGATCTCTCTCTCTCTGTCTCCATAAAGAGGACCTGTTATGTGAATTGGCTATCACATAGGGGATTTCTTAGTCCCCTATGTGATAGCAATAAAGTTAAGTGTAAAAAAAAATGAAAGCATAAAAAAATAAAGAAGCTAAAAAAAAGTCACAAATAATAATAAAAACAATTTAAAAAATGTTTTTAAAGTCCCCCGCCCCCCACATACACTTGCAAACATGCGTCGGGTGCGCCAACGTGTGAAAACGACGATTGCGCCCATTACGCCACACATGTTACATATTGCCGCGAACGTCGGAATGAGAGCAATCATTTTAGGGCCATTAATTACTGATAACACTAAACTGATGAGTAGTAAAAGCTTTTAAAATTTGGGTGTGGTTGTTTTCTGCAATTTCGCAGGCGTGCGCAATTTTAAAGCTTGACATGTTTGGTGTCTATTTACCCGACGTGACCCCGTATTTTATATTTTACCAAATAAATTGGGGTGATAATAAATGTTTCATAACATTTCATAAGGAAACAGGATTTTTTTCAAAATGTAGGGTACTTTTTTTGTTATATAGTAAAAAATAAAAACCCCAGTGGTGATTAAATACCACCAAAAGAAATCTCTATCTGTCCCCAAAACATGGTATAAAATTAATTTCAGTACAGCGTTACATGACTGAATAAATGTCAGTCAAAGTACTGCAGTGCTAAATACTTAAAATGGCCTGGCCAGGAAGGGGCTTTAACACCATGGTCTTTAAGTGGTTAATATACTCCAACAGACTGCCATTGTTGAAGCATCTACAGTATGTTATATGACCCAGATTTTGAGAAAGAAAATCCTTTATACTTTAAAAAGCTTTTTCTGCACATTTGTCTAGAACTCCTTAATGCCTATAGCCTGGACATTTTTAAGGGAGCCTGTAGTTAGGCTTTTAATGGGAAGATCACAGAACAATTGATTTTTTTTTGTATTAGGAAGTGGGGGTGTATGCAATTCTGTGATACTTTAATGGAATTGGTTAGCACGGCTTCTTGGTGCATCAAACTGTGGAAGCTCTGCCTTGAACAAGAGCAAGAGTTATCCTGGTGAACTTCATACTTATAAAAAAGTTAAAATCTAATCATTTCCCATTTTGTCGGGCACTCTTTATAGTTGTCACTGCTATGACATACCTCAATGTTTGTCATAATCTGATTTTTCATTGTACTTCTTTTCTAGGAAAAACATCCTTCCGGAATACAATGTCACCTGCGTTTATAACAAAGTGACTGCTCCTCAATGTCCTATATTCCGATTAGGGGACATCCTAAAAGAAGCAGGACATCATTTTTCCCAAGTTGCCATTCTAGTATGTATACTGTAGCTTGTATTGGCACCCATATTTTTTTATGTTTTTATATTAGTTGAATAGAGAAAAAATAAAAAAAAATGCCCTTATATCCAGGACTGTTTTGAATGGGAAAAGGATTCCTGGGCCAATCAGGACAGAGATGGAATTGACAGATTTACTAGTTAAAAGAAGTTCCAAAGCTTTCCTGACCTGCAAGAAAGTGATGGCCTCACCTTCATAACTGAGAAAGAATAAAACATCTGCTTACTTACAATGCAGAGTTTGGGAGGCAGCTAATCTGTACAGTCAGGTATTGCTTTAACTGAAGACTTACTGCTGACAGTTTCATTTGTACCTTTACAAATCTTGGCCTTGGAAGACTAATAGACTCATAATTGTTGATTTGGTTTAGAATTATGTCTCCTAACTATTTAACGGTACTACTGTGGGCTTTTACAGTAAGAAGGGCAAGTAAGCTGGTTATTACTGCACGCAAATGGAGCGTACCATGGCATACATTGTCGGTTGCAGAACATTTCTGTCTGTTAATGACATATGCACCTCAGCCTACAGTCATCATCTTGCCAATCAATATTATATTAAAGTGGGACTGACGCCAAAACTTTTTTTTTTTCTTTGGATAGATTGGATAGGTTCACCCTCCCTACTTGTGATAGTGAATGATAGGTTGCCACCAGAACAGGAATAAATGGGGAGATTAGTTCTGGTGGTCCTGCTGACCACCAGGGATTCCCCTCACATTGGAGAGATTTCCTTTAATTTCCTGGTTATTGGTCCCAATGGGACACAGATGGCAAACAAAAAAGCTGATGGGTTATAAGCGTCCGCTAAAAAAAAATGTTTTGTTTTCAGTTCAGTATTAAGTAAGGTTAATAGTACTTCCCCTTTTGGTGTAAGTTTTAGTGCTTTGATTAAAACTTCTCACTGTGAAAAATGAGCCTACAAAATGAAAGTGTATCTAAACCCAAAAACAAAAATGTATTATACTGTATAACCTAACATTCCTTAGATGAGGTGGTGTTCTTAGTTTTTATTTTTAAGGCTTTTTTCATCCTTTATTTTCAGCTAGTAATCCTGCCAGCAATACACTTTCTGTCCTAGGATGGCTACACTCTCTCCGCTGGGAGGGAGCCATGGTTGTCACGCAGGCTGCTCTACTGATTTGGACCAAAAACACAACCTCCACATATCTCCATTACATGGGGCATAGAGGAATTTGTAGTTTACAGAAAATAGCTTGAAAGGAAGATAACATTCTATGATATATCAGTTTAGTGCACAGGAAGTGACATCATTTCTGGCAAGATCAAGAGGTATTTTTTTTTGTACTTGCTGAAAATGTTCTTAGCCTGAAAAACGACAATGGATGCAGCCGCCAAATCTGAGGACTGTTAAGCTAGAATCTAATAATTCATATTAACTTTGTTGTTCTCGGGTGTAGATATATTTAGAACTTACATTTGATAATTCTAGATAAGATCATACATCATCTACTACTACATGTATTGGGGTGTGGTGTGATTTCCCAAAAGATGGGGTATATTCGGTATCCCATTGTTAGAACACTTTCTATGCATAACACTTTTTTTTCTGAGTAAAGTTCCTGGATGAAGTTAATATTGTTTTTGAAAATGTCATTGTGTATTTAGAGAGAGTGCAACCCTACAAGTTCCTGTTACACTGTTTACTGACCCACATTGTTTAAACACATCCATAGCCAGCATGTTCACAGAAACAAACAGCAGTATATTTTACAGTTTCCAAAAAGTCCTGCCTCTTGAATTGTTTGAGTTTCATTATAAGCAAGGTAAACTCTCTTTATATATTTTTTTTTTTTTTATTTAATACACACTGATGTTTATTTAATACACACTGATGTGTGAAGATACTAAAAAAATATGTGCCAACTTTAACCATACATTTTCTTATAGTTTAGTATTGGATGGGGCCCAGGGGGGAGGTGATAACCTATGCCATGTTTTATTGCTGTCTTTGAACTTTATATTTACTTCCTGTCACAGTGACTGTTGAGATTAAGATTGTAAATTGTGTAAAATCTGATATAATTGTAAAAAGCGTATACTTTATTTGATAGTTTTTCATATAGATAACTTTCTTTTATCTAGGGTGGCATTATGGGCATAGAAATCAACTGGAACTGTAATCTCGACCGTTGGCTTCACCGCTGTCGTCCACAATACAGTTTCCGACGGTTGGATGATAAGGTTGTTGATGAACGCTTATATCCTGGCTTGAATTTCAGGTATGGAAAAAAGACACTTAAAGCTGATCTTTACCCCTTTCACTATAAATCACATCAGCATGCAGCTCAGCCCTTACATTTGTTGCATGCACACCAGAGGCATTAGAGCTGCTCTCGCTGCTTTTTCCAGCGCAGCCCCAACACTAAACAAAGACTATTTGCCTTGTTACGAATGGGCTCAGTTCACACCACAATCATGTTGCAGTTGTGTGTGCTGAAAAAAAGTACTGCATGCAGGCTGCAACTGCATGACACTGTGCTGTCCCCATAGAACTTAATAAAATGTCACTCATGAGTTCTAACAAAAAATAAACATTGCGATGCGCTGCAATCTGTGTACCAGCAGTGCCCCATGGCACACACACCAGCAGCTGTGTGTTTTCGTACAGGTGTGAATGCAGCCTAAATGGAGGAATGCTTTTTTTTTATTTTAAAATGATGCTCGGGACTAAAATATCAATTTTTTGGCCAAGATCGACTTAAGAATCTAAAAAAACATAAGAACAAATTAGTTATGGTTGGAATTACACTATGTGGCTGGTTGCCAAGTAATTTGAGGCCACCATCTTAATCACCTATTTATTATCCATGTTGATACTTATTGTTGTAATAGCTTACCTTGTCAAATTAGAACTCATGCAAGTATATCCTATGACTTTAATACAGTACATAGTCTCTTACCGTTGGTTTAAAAATAGAAGTATTCTTTTGTATCTACAGATTTGCCAGGTACTACAAGATGCAGGACCAAAGCGACCTGAGGACTCTTATAAAGGCATATGGAATACGATTTGACATTCAAGTCTATGGCACAGTAATGCTTTCATTTCTAATAATTCATTTGATTCTAAAAGCCTTTAGAAATGTTTCATTTTTGTTTATGTAAAATATTTCAAATTTGTTTGCATGAGTCTATCACTAACCTAATGAAGCCGATGCTTGCTATGATCTACGCTTCAAAGTTCATTTTACTATCAGCAGAATGTTTTTGTATTTGTCATTTCATTAGACTGGGGGTTGACCCAGACAACCATATTAAAGAACACATATAGGCTTCTCATATATATCACCATATATATCATATACATCACACAGATGTGATCATCATGCTTTTCTTTTATCTAGATATATTCACCCTTTTTTTTAATATAGACAGATTCAAGTACTTACACTAGCTGCATTTAAAAATACATTTAAAGCCACACTCTGATAATGTACACACCGCGCTGGGTGTGTAAATTATGATTAAAAAGCTGGGTGTTATGTGTGGACGGCTGCTGCTAAGTATAAAAAACTTTCCTTGCAGAACGCTGTCCCCTGCATACAACGCCCAGCTTCAGGGCACTGAAGATATGGAAAGATGTGATCGAGTTGTACAGCGCTCGGGTCGCATCACCTGCCCCTCCTTACTATCCTCCATTCACAAAATATCTTGTATTTCTTTAAAGAATACAAGACATTCTGTGATTAGAGGAGGAAAGAAGGGGGCATGGCTATGACATCATCTCTCCTCCTCTCTCTCCAATCACAGAATGTTTTATATTCTTGAAAAAAAGACATTTTCTGATTTTTATTTTATTTTTTCTTTCAATGGGCCATTCATTTTTATCTTGTTATGTTTGGCTGAAGTTCTGTTTTAAAATAGTTTAGCCATATAAAACCCACTGCTTTCACAAATAGATAAATGCTTGTCATTAATTTATATATTTAATTAGAAGGAGTCTACGACACCTATAACTCACAGATGTAACTGATTTATATCAAATATACACAATTAGCATCTGTAATGGAAAGCTTCAATTTCCTAGACACCGCACTAGATATTACAGGGAAGGGGGGTTACCATACTAATGCTGCAGCACCATTAATACACTGATCAGTACTGCAAAAGAAAAAAGCTGCCATGCTGCTTAGCTCCTAGAGAATGGAAATATTAATAGACATGGCTAACACATTATTATTTAAGCTGCAGGCTGCATCTACAGAGGTCTAGCCTAAGGCTAGGCAGCTAAATAAACTTAAAGTGACATTAAACCCTCAGATTTTTTAACATAAAACAATACTGTAATGTGTGCCTTACTGTAATCCATGGTAGTTTCCCTTCTCTTTGCTGCTCTTCCTTTTAAATCCTCATGTATTCTCATGCTTGGGGAGAACTTCCCTTTGCAGCTGACTGCCTCTTCCTGTAGTGCTGGCTCAGGTTGCAAACCTACACACAGACACCATGTATCCATTCCAGAGACAAGGCAGTCTGCTGCAAAACAGAAGTTCTGCCCAGCATGAGAACAGATACAGATTTAAAAGGAAGAGCAGCAAAGAGAAGGGAAACTACCATGGATTACAGTAAGGCACACATTACAGTATTGTTTTATGTTAAAAAATCTCAGGGTTTAATGTCACTTTAAGTACTTTGTATAACCTATATTTGTCAGCTGTAGGTATCTATAATCAGAGGTACCTGTAGTTTTGGGTCCTTTGTTCACAATCCTCCAATTTGACACTACAAACCAAGGAAACAGTGGAGATCCTCGGGAATGTAGATGCGGTCTGTCCACTTGTCACATCACCTATACAAACGATTTCCCATCCTGATTGGCCAGCCACACCAATAGGACAAACCTTATGGGTCCATTACTTTTACTTCACTTCTTTCAAGTATTTCCATTAGTCCATTTCCACCTTTGTAAGTGATTGGCATTTATTGTGGTAATGTAGAGGTGCAGTGATGATGTATATGAGTGCACATTTGCATGGCTCACATTACAGGCTTTCTTCATATTTTTATTAAGTTTTTAGTAGGCCTGGGCAGCACAGTGGTGTGGCATTTGCATGTTCTCCCTGTTTTTGTGTGTGTTTCCTCTGGGTACTCCGGTTTCCTCCCACACTCCAAAGACATGCTGGTAGATTAATTGGCTCCTGTCTAAATTGGCCCTGTACGTATGCATGTGAGATAGGGACGTTAGATTGTAAGCTCCTTGAGGGCGGGGACTGATGTGAATGTGCACTATGTAAAGCACTGCATAAATTATCAGCGCTGTCTAAACACCTATAACAAATAAATAAAAAAAATGAGGCCTGAATCCTAGAAATTGAACATTTGCTCCACAGTGTGACTGTAAACGATCACTAAACACCAGCTTTGCCTTTACACAAAATACACTGTCCGAGGAGGGGTTGCCACTGTGAATACTAATGAATGGGGAGTGGAGAGCTCACAGAGTTGTAATTTACACAGAGCACAGAGGCAGTCATTTCCATGAGGAAATGAAGAGGAGAGCTAACACAAAAACAAATTTTTGTGTTCATATACATCAACTGCATATGCCTGCCAAATCAACTGCACTCGGTGTACATGAAGCAGGCATAAATACCTCTGTAAAGGTGGAAATGGGCTCCAGGCAATTAACAGCTGAAAATGCATATGCGGGAGCTTTTTTAAGTGCAAAGGGATTTATATTTCTGTCTATCCAGTCTTGAGATATAGGCAGCCCTGCCAGACTGTACAGCCAGATTGCTGACTTGTCTTTTCTCTATTGAAGTTAAGCATAACAGCCTGGTCCTTGCCCCTAGCCTTTGACTAGACCAGGGGTCAGCAACCCACGGTTCCTGAGCCACATGTGGCTCTTTCATCCCTCTGCTGTGGCTACCTGTCCAGAGGCGGAACTACCACCGGGGCTTCAGGGCCTGAGGCTGTGGGGTGGCCCAGTGAGGTCCGGTCCTGGGCACACCCCCTGGTGGAATATGCGGCAGTGCAGGGGCCCCGCACTGCCAACGGGCTTCTCAGCAAGGGGGCGGGTCCTATGACTCACCTCCCCTCCTGGCCGTGTCCCTAGTAACAGGTGGCAGGAGAGGAGAAGTGTGTGTCACATGCCCTGCCCCTGCAGTGCACACCGTCTGGCTGGGATGCTGGCTGTAAGGCTTGGCAGGTCTGGGGCAGAAGAGCGGGGGGGGGAAGGGTGTTACGGGTGTAACTGCACACTGTGTGCTGTTATTTCATTTAATTAGAAAAGTGGATTATAATGGGGAACATTACACTGTAATATTGCCTATTATAATCTATTTCTCTGATTAAATGATTAGACAGGGCCGCTGTTCTATCAAAGTTGTGACTGGGTTGGAATGTGTGAACGTGGTCACACATTTCAATGTAATCCCACCCAGTTTTTTGGCGGTGGAATGTGTGACCACCAATAGGTCAAGCATTCTAATGCTTTCTTAGCACTCACAGTGTTGGACAGAAGTGACATTTCAGGACCAAACAGCTGATCCAGGGCAGATCGGTTCTCCTGCACATACGATTTGCGAATCACCCATCTGTTCACTCGGCTCCTTCCTCCTGTTTAAGTCCTGGTTCACACCTAGCGTTTTGTAACGCTTTTCCTGCACTAAAAAACATTCAAAAAAACACCCAACCAAATCCCATTCATTTCTATGGCCTTGTTCACATTTGAGTGTGCGTTTTACTCACAATTGCACGGTTACATCAGTGTGTCACAATCTGCTCGTAAAAACACGTGACTTGATATATGCACATAAAATGCGTGCAAATCCGTGAAAAAAATGCACAAAAACGTGCATAGAAACAAGCCAAACAGCTGTCGCCTAGGTGTGAATCAAGCACTAATGTTACATGGCAGTTAATTGGCTATGCGGCACAAATGATTAGCAACTAGCACTGCACCTTCCTTTTTCGGTCTGCAAGTTGCTGTACAGGGATTACAGGAGGATGATACCAAGTCCAATCCAGGTACTGATGCTGGTTGTACTAAAAATACATTAAGTCATTTTTAAAGAACGCATAACAATGAGTAGCAAGCCTCATGCACACAGGCACCTGGAGCTGTACGGTGTAGATATGGGGTATATTTTCCCACGTGGGAACCCTACTGTAGGTGCTACATACAACTCTATGCAGATACTTTCATACACATGCACATCTGTGCAGACGTACAACCCCAAATGCAGACTGTCTGGGGGTTTTCACGCCCATGCGTATATATGTGTTTACGCAAGTAGTGGCTCATGAGCGCGTACAGCCATTGATTTTTTTGTGGGCGTCTGCATGCAGCAAACAATTTTTACATTGTTTGGCCCCAGGCGCCTATGTGCATGAGGCCTTAATAGGTGTTTTTAGTATCTGCCTGATGGTCAGCTTAAACATTCTGCACAGGTATTGCAGAACAGAGTGGATACCTGTAATAAATATGTCTTATAAAATGTATTGAATTTCAGTGTCATGTTTTGTAGTCTTCTGTTAGAAAGATGCAGTTTTTTTATACATTGAATCAGGAACAATATCATATACTATACATTGCTATATACAGTATTGTGTATGTTATAGTAAAATGTCATGTAGTATGTGTTCTCTTATTTACTGCTGTTCAAATCATCCCATTCTAGGGAGGCCAGTTTAGTTGGTTGGAATTGGTGATGTTCATCGGTTCCTATCTTTCTTACTTTGGATTGGTGAGTTGTATTTCAACTGAAACATCTGTTTGTAGTAGTATAATAGCAGACTCAACCAAAACCTTTTTTAGTTGTGGATAGAGTGGAGAGGCCGGATTTCCCAGCCTTGGGGCAGCAGGGAGTAGAGGGGCAGCAGGGGTGTGGAATTCCTTTCTCCCGATGCACAGGACAAGCATTTCCGGGCTCCTGGCGGGTAGTTGTTTTCTACATTTAGCCCTGCTTTGGACAAGCAGAGCTAAATATACAGCAGGGAAGCCTCCGCTGGTTTTGCACAAGTGATCTCGCCGATATCACTTGTATGCAGCCTGCAGGTCTGCTATTCTCCATGGGGTGGGGGTTGGAGAGTAGGGGGTGGAATTGAGGAACAGCAGAGGCCTTGGGGCAGCAGAGAGAGTAAATCCGGCCCTGATTGCGGTCTGTGTTTGATTGCCCACTGCTAGGGAGATTCACCCTCTCTTTTTCTCCTGATGACCGTTATCACTGATAGTGAAAGAAAATCCCAAATTTTAGGTTGTCATCAGAACAGGAAAAGGTGGGAAATGGTAACACTAGTTCTGGTGACCCCTGCTGACTACCAGGGATTTCTCCCAATTTGTTCTCAGCTCCTGTATCTGGGACACAACAAAACGTGAAGGAAACTCCATAAAACACAGACAAGAATAACAGCTTGACAGAGGTTCTAGCCCTTTCCCTTTCTGTCCAAATCAAAAGGTTTTGGCTTTGGTTCTACTTTAATCATTTGTTATAAGTTGTTGTTGGCATTCACTTTGGTTCATAATTTCTACTCCATCTTGGTAATCCCTATATGTTTATTTTATGATTTCTCCAGACTGTATTGTGCTGTTTTATATGTTAATGTTTTATTTTATTTTTGAAAAAGGAGTATTGATAACAGTGTTTATTTATTAATCTATTGATCATTCATTTAGGCAACAGTGGTGATTGATTTTATTATCAGCCTGTACTGCAAAAGGTGCTGCAGCACTACATCGGGTCAGAGATACTTTGATAAGGAGAAGTATGAGGAGATCCCCGGGCCCTGTATTCTGACGGTAACAGCTGGGTGGGAAGCCGCATCAAGTGTTACAGATTGCTAAGAACTCTTAGCAACCTGAGACACTGTGGCCTCCACCTCCCCCCCCCAATGAGATACCCCCTGAGGTAACCCCCTCAGGCTGCCTCATTAAAGGGATGGCCTTGACTATGATTCTAGTTTCTTCAAACCAAACAAGAACAAAAATATAATTTTATGGTTATTTTATTGTTGGCAATAAGCTGTATATCCATTACTAATGTACATAATTGGTTAATTAGCCTTCAGCACGTGAAGTGGGAATGCAGTGCTAGTAGTTTTCAGTGCAGAAGGCTCTCTCACACTAACCCTAATTCTTGTCAATCTTATTTTTCCAAATAGTTTATTTAAATTCCAGCTCTACAGTTAACATTCTACAATTTCACATTACGCACAATAAATTACATCTGGAGCGACAAAAGACCCATGTTAGTAAAGTAAAATCAGTTGTGGATAAACTCGGTTTAAAGAACAATGGGGTGGGAAACTAGGAAACTAGGGACCATTTATCCAGAGATCAAAGGGCTGATGTAGGGCTACAGGGGTGTCCATGAGAACCTACTTGTAATCAGTGGCTTCACAAGGGGGTGCGGCCTGGACCCGGGTGACACCATTGCAGGGGGTGACATCAAAATGACTGACAGTCATTTTCGTGTCACCCCCTCTAAAAAGAGGTCAGGAGAGAGGAGGGGCCCGGCGGGAGAAACCCCATGCGTCGCTGCACCAAATCGGTCAAGCAAAACAAACGACAAACGCACTCAACAATTTGTCACCAGTTATACAGTAAGGTGCACACGAAATGGGCTTCGAACAGTAAAACAGTGAAAGGCATCATGGCACACTCACAAACCAGCATGTAAAACAACTTGTCTCACCACTAAGGATAATAACAGAGGTTTGGATACACGTCTTCTGCAGAGGATGTGAAAGCCGCACTGCCGCGCCAAGGCACCTCTTATAGTGCGGTCCTAACTCTAAACTATGAGAGTCTCCATCTTGGAGCACATGGGGGCAGAAGATTTTAAATTGGGTGCAGGTTTGTGTGGAGGACGCCCAGCCTCCTTAAAAGCACAGAAACACACAAGGGATCCCGCACATCCCAATGGCAGCTGAGAAACCCCATGCGTCGCTGCACCAAATCGGTCAAGAAAAACAAACGACAAACGCACTCAACAATTTGTCACCAGTTATACAGTAAGGTGCACACGAAATGGGCTTCGAACAGTAAAACAGTAGAAAGGCATCATGGCACACTCACAAACCAGCATGTAAAACAACTTGTCTCACCACTAAGGATAATAACAGAGGTTTGGATACCTGGATAACTTAAATGATGTCTCTTAATCCGATCTTCCTCTTCTTTCCTGATGTTTTCATCTGTCCCTCCAGCGCTGCGGCTGCTCTCAGATCCAGCGCTGACTCCTCTGTCCTTGCTGGCACTTCCGATACCGTGGTGCGTCTCTGCTCGTCTCCTGACCAAAAATCTGAACTGTGCATGCGCCCGCCCCAAGATACTTTGCGGCCGCACGAGCAGTTTCAGATTCTCGGGCGGGAGCGCGCGGCGAAAACAGGGTAAGTTTAAACCGCCGTTAAAGCGGGTTTTAAAAAAAACAAAACTTTTTGCATATATCTACTGCTTCCTAGCCGTAGATATAGGCAAAAAAAACAGAGGGTTTAGAAACCCTTTAAGGTAAGTCCTTACACTAGCATTAGGGGGGAATTATCCTTTAAAGGAGAACTATGGGGACAGTGTTTTTCCCCATAGTTCTCCTTAGGGTAACAGGAGGACACAAACTAGTGTCCTTCCGTCACCCTAAGCTCAGTAGCTCGCGGTATACTGAGACGCCGCAGCCGAGCCGCGTGAGTGAAAGCTGGCTCTGCCTATCTAGAGGCAGAGCCAGCTGTACCTGCCCCCTCCCCTGTCCGTTCTGCCAGTCAGTGCTGGCAGATCGGAGCGGGGAGAGGGGAATCCAGCCCCTCCCCCTGTCACGGCAGGGAGCCGTGACAGGATCGAGAGGTGAGCGAACCCGGTATGTGTTCGCTCACCTCCCGATCTACTGAGCCGACCTGTGACAGTCTCATTGTCACAGGTCGGCTAGAACTATGAGGTGAGTGGAAATCACTAATCTCATAGTTCTCCTTTAATGTCACTTTGAACTAAATTGAACCCCTTATTTGAATGCTTTTAACCCCTTCGTGAGGGGAGACGTACAGTGTACGTCCCGTCACAAAGTGGCTATAAGACTGGCCATGTACACTGTACGTGCCGAGTTATATTAGCCTGTGAAACCATCCTAGTGCTGAAAAATGCCATCTCCAGGATCCTAGCAACTGAATATACAGTTTCAATAAAATTAATTCTTCAGAAACCAACTTTTTTTAACACTTATATTTGCACTCAAATCTAAAGCGAATCATATGACTTCTTATCTAGGCCAAAACAGAAATGATCAAGATAAAATGTAACCCACTCTTTTTTCTGTATATTGAATCTTATTCAGATTTTTACTCTTTGATGTATTTTACTTGCATCTGGAAATATCCTAGTGACATAATTCCTGTAACAAACAGAAAGGGATATATAGTTCAACAATATATAATTGAATATATCATAATAAACATAGGTTACCATGTACCTTTAGGCCCCATTCACACTGAGCGATTTATCGAGCGATTTTTGCAGCGATATCGCTCATATTTCCACGCGATATCGCTCTATGTAGCTTCTCCAATCCATTTCAATGGAGCTGCTCACATCTCGCCGCTCAATATCGATTGTAGCTCGTCGCTGGTAGCTTGTCGCTCCTACATGTCCCTTTTTTCGAGCGATTTCGAGAGATATTGCTCCTGATTGCATACAGCCCAATAGGAAAAAGTTGCGCGATGTCGCGCGACAAGTCGCTCAATATCGCTCGTTGCGCAATATCGTTTAAAATTGCGCGATTTTCATGTCGCTCAGTGTGAATGGGGCCTTAGGGCCCCATTCACACTTATATCCCACCTCAACCTAAGGGCCCCTTATATCCCACCTCAACCTAACCACTGAACCATCACATTCTCAAACAATTCATCCCCACACAGCTACCTCCTCATGTATCATTTCCCCCTCCTCTTTCAGATTGTAAGTCCTCAGGGGCAGGGCCCTCCTTACCATCCTGTCTTGAATTGTATTGTAATTGTAATGTCTTCCTTACATTGTAAAGCACTGCGCAAACTGTTGGCGCTATATAAATACTATGTAATAATAATAATAATAATATATTATATATATTATAGATCTATTGAATAGTTAGTTGTGTTCTTGTTGTGTAGCTTTGGGGTATATTTTAGATCTATTGGATAATAAGTTGTGTTGTGTATGTGTAGTTTTAGGGTATATTATGAATGAAGTAGTTGTGTTCTTGTTATGTATCCTGTCAGGATTTTGTATTATATTTTGTGTTCTTTTGACCTTCTTCTGAGCTATTCTTTTGTCATTGTTCATAAAGCATAATGTAATGCAAATCTTGTAATTTTATAATAATTTTTGGTTTTTCCTCTGTTTTTTAGTCATGCCAAGAACTCAAGTTTGTGTCCTTTGTGGATCAAGAGGACATAATAATGGTGGATAAAAAAATAAAGAAAAGCTTACAAGTGACTAAAGGTAAAAAGGTTAAGGTAAGTGAAATGGACCCAACTTGTTGTAGCATGTCTGGTACTGCTTGACCAGTTATAGTTGGATAGAAATCGGATAGTTATTTCTCATTTCTGGACAGTGGTCAGAGCCATACAAATCATTGTTTTATGCTCCATTGGCCAGATGCACATCCAGAAGAAGGCTTTTCTGTGCTACGCACTGATTCGGTTGGAGGGATTTTTGATTGTTTTAGTCCCTTCTCACCATAACCTGGATGGTTTTATTGTTCCATTGGGTCCAAAGCCCTACTCCATAGAAGCCATTGCTTCCATGCACTGCAGTGATGATGGCCAAATAGCCTGAAATAGCTGTATGCAGCTTGGAATAAATGGCTCTAAAATATTAGGCTGTATTTAAAAAATACAACAGAAATTCTGGATGTGCAATTGGCCAATAAAGCGTAAAGCAATGAACTGCATGGCTCTGCCCAGTGTCCTGAATTGAGAAATAATTATCTTATTTTTGGGATATGTTATATAATGAGACATGGGATTACCTTCTGTTTTAAGAAGGCTTTAGTGTGCTACGCATTGATTTGGTCAGAAGGTTTTTTGATTGCTTTAGTCCCATCTCCACATAAACTACAGTATATGCTCCTATAGTCCCATTGACTTGGATTGCAATACTATGCCAAAGGTCTTTGTGCCAAAAGACACAGTAACCTAACTTCATACTCCATGCTGGAATCACTCTGCGTGCCAAATACATTTTCTTGATTAAATGAATGGTGGCTCTGATAAAACCACTGAACTCTTTAGTATCAACTCTCTTTACATTTCCTCCCCGGTGATGACATGTTCCTTATTTACTAGGCCATAAATCTAAGGGCCCATTCACCTGTCTGGTCCCTTGTGGTGCAATAATGTGAATTTTATTGCACGTTAACATGCGTTACATTAAAGGCAGCCCATTCATTTTAATAGGCTGGGAAAACACCACAATGGACCAAAAATCACATATGCACCATTATTATAATGCAGTGCATCGCAACACACGGTACTGAGTTACCCTGCACTGTACTGCAGTACAGGTGTGTTCCTTTAGCTCTTTGGGGTGCCATTGAACATGAGTAGCACAGGCTTGTTACCACAATGCACAGGTGTGAATGTGCCATAAACCTGCAAAAAACAAGGCACATTTACTGACTCCACTGACGGGTCCTGCAGAGATAATCAGTAAAGTCATTCAGTCTTCTCACATTAGTGGACAGCTATAGAAAATAATCCCAGCAGTGGGAAGGCTCTTTAAGGAAAAGTGGAGGCTATAAATATCAAGCATTTCACTTCACCGGACTATCTTTTGCCTGACAGCCTTCTTTAATAAAATTGTGGCAATGTATTTATCACTGAAGCCTGCATAAACTGTTTGCAGGCTGCATTTACTCAGGAGCTACTGTCTGAGCTACTATAGTACAGCTCCAATGATTTTTCATCATTATGTTTCAATGATTATGTTTCAAAGAAAAATAATGCTTGCCTATAACAGCTGGTCTGATTCTGGTCTCTATTTTTCGGAAGCTGCATATTCAATTTGGTCCATCAGTTTATGCATCAGAGAGGAAACAGAGTTCTCTGAAGATGATGACTGTTTAGATATGAGTTACAGGAACAGACACAAAACCCTCACTCACAAGACGTTTCTCACAACTTCCAGAGTGATTCATGCTCATACAATGTTACAGCTCAAATCATAGATAGGTACATACATACATACATACATACATACATACATACACAGAGAGATAATCAGTTCAAGTACCTCGATTCGGAAGTTTGTTTATCTATTAATTTACACTGTCAAGCAGCATGAGCATAATATAGATTGTTCCATTTAGTGGTTTCCAGTGCCCAGATCCTGGTACAAGAAGGGTACTTCCCTGGCACTAGTACTTCAAGTTCACAATAACAAAGTATGGTTGTTTAAAGTTGAAGTCTTTAATATAATATTTGGGACAAGTGTTGGCAGTTAAATTCTAAATCTAGCAAAACATATTTTATAGACTGGGAAATGCTTAGAAGCGTTGTGATATGTTTATTACAGTCTGTGTACTGTTGGGGCGATTTCTCCTCATTTCCTGTTCTGGCTGACACCCGTCACCTGGAAAAAAGTGAGGAGAATGCTTTGAAATGGGAACAGCAATAAAAGCTAGACGAAGAATGTCATTGTATGTCAGTTCATCAAATGCTATGTAAAAAAAATACATAGCCCAGTAAAAGTAAAAATTAAAAAGCAGCTTTTGATCACCTTCCTGGCTGTTCCTGGCAGTAATGTTTTCAGCCACTAGATGTCGCCAGCCTTCCGAATTGAATAGCAGCCAGCATTATTCAGCCCCCTTCCTCTAAGCCCAGACTGTCATGTACCCCCCTCCTGGGGCAGTGTCATCACACAGCCTGAGCTCAGAGAGAAAACTGTAATGAACAGTGCTTACATGTCATTTCATGAGCACCATTAAATGCATATTAGGGATAGGCTACTTTCACCATTGAAGAAGAAGAAAAAGGACCCATAATACGACATAAAAAGGACCCAAGAGACCCAAGAGCCTTTTGGAAAAAGTATACTGTAAGCTTAGCTGTTAAGGTACAGGTTAGGGTTTATAATAATGTGTGGGGTTAAGTATTACCATCATATTAAAGTAAACTTGTTTAAACCTGGATCATTTCAACTGAGCATACTGTATGTTAGAAAAATGCATAGTTAGAGGTTACCTTCAGTAAAAAAAAAAAAAGGTCAAGAGGATCAGTAGATCCATAACATGTTAACATGTTTATGACAATGGTAACTTTCCCTGAAAAGGTGGGTGGAATGGATTTTTCATTCTAGCACCATTTCTTGTAGCCTATAATATCGTTTGTAATCCAGGTAGCCTTAATTTTATACTGCCCTTCAGGAAATGTATCACTGCTCAGTGCTCCCCAATAATAAAGATATTTATGAGGTGCGGTTCCTAATTTTTCACCAATGGCTCAGTTTGAATTGTCCAGGTTTGTGACAGGTTCAGTTTATGGATTAAGGACAAGCTAAAGGTCAGGGGCATTTGGTGAAAAACACTTTGTTTTTAATTTGTATTGGGCTTTAGATCCTAAAAGAACATTATTTGTAATGCAAACCATTTTAAAGACCAAGTCCAAGTACTTCCTCTCATGTACTTGCCGATACCAATTACCGATACCGATTTTTCTTAAAGGGGCAGGTGACATTTAAAAAAAAACAATACAGACTAATGATTTTAGACCAATTTCTTTATGATTATGAAGAACTTTAATTTAAGACTGTTTTAGAACAATAAAACATTTCTATTTGCTTTCACACAGCTACAGTGAAACTACAAATCCGATCATGCATCTGCCTCTTGGATAATTTAACCTATTCATGTTAGCAGGGGAGAATTGTAACTCTATTACTGCAGTGTACTGGAAGTGTGTGGTGTGGATCATTTAACCTGGTACACACTTCCAGTACACTGCAGTAATAGAGTTACAGTTCTCCCCTGCTAACATGAATAGGTTAAATGATCCATAGTACAACTACATGTTATGTACTATGGATCATGATTTAACCTATTCATGTTAGCAGGGGAGAACTGTAACTCTATTGCTGTAGTGTAGTGGGGGTGTGTGCTGTATATACTGTATGTACTACATATACAGTACACACTTACAGTACACTGTAGCAATAGATTTACAGCCAGCACTGTCCCAGCTTCCCTCACTCACAGTTTCACTCAGATCCCTGTTGCCTCACACGATGCCTCTTGTAGTCGGCACTGGGCAGGATCGCTGCATCGCGTCTCAGTGCTCAGCTTGTGGGAGGCGCTCACAATTCTGCCCTGCTAACATGAATAAGTTAAATCATGATCCATAGTACATATACAGCACACACATCTAGTACACTGCAGCAATAGAGTTACAATTATCCCCTGCAAACATGAATAGGTTAAATCATGATCCATAGTACATAACATGTAGTTGTACTATGGATCATTTAACCTATTCATGTTTGCAGGGGATAATTGTAAATCTATTGCTGCAGTATATTTGGAATATGTACTGTACATGTACTACATATAGAATACACTACAGCAATATATTTACAATTATCCCCTGCTAATATGAATAGGTTAAATGATCCATAGTAGATAATAATTACATAACATGTAGTTTTACTACGGATCATTTAACCTATTCATATTAGAAGGGGATTATTGTAAATCTATTGCTGCAGTGTATTCTATATGTAGTAGAATGTACAGTACATATTCCAAATACACTGCAGCAATAGATTCTTGTTGTTCACAGTAACAATTCTAAACTTCCCACTTAAGCCCAGGCCCTCACTTACTGTTGCCTGTTCGATCGAGGTGCCTCACAAGGTGCCGAACGATTTTCCTCACACGTGAGGACGTCATCGCCACTGAGCTGAAGAGGAGCGTTGCGTCGTGTCACTGCTGCTCCTGTGGGCGGCTCTCCAGGTGGGGTCCTAATTTAGGTGGGCAGGGACTGCCCAGAGGACCCCACCACACTCGGCACGGCAAGTAAAGAAAAAAACAAAAAACATAGCGCAAGCTTTGGCGCTATCTGTCGGGGCATTTTGACAAGTACTTGTCAAAATGCTCTGTAGCGGTGCTAGTATCGGTATCGGGACATCCCTAAGATATATATATAGAATGTGGTCCCATGGCTAACCTATGTTTTTCAATGCTTTCTATTTCAGAGAGGAAAAAAGACTGATAACATAGTCCTTGCTCAGCTTGAACTGTCTGCAATTGATGGACTGGAAGAACTTCCTCTATACCCAAGAAGTGCTAAAAAATCCTCAGCAATTCCTTCCTGGTGTCGTTGTTTGAAATGTCTTCCAGAAAATGCATTTGAAGATCAGCTCTGCTGCCGATATCAAAATGGGGAATGCATTACAAACTCGGAAATGTTTAGGAAGCTGGTCCTGCAGAGACTGGCTCTGGTGCACATCCTGCAATACAACAATCCTCTGATAAACAGGCATTCCATAGGCAAAAAACAGCTAGCAGAGTGCGCTCGAAATCAGTATGTCCAATGGCGCTTTGGGAGCAATAAGAATATGATGGACTTTGCAAAGATACCAAGCTGTTGTAAACATGAAATAGAAAACACGTTCAATGGTGATGCATCTGAAACCTCCTTGCAACATGCAGATAAAGACACAAAAATGCAGTCCGCCTCTGATACCTCCAGGAAACCTCTGCTGAAACAGCAGCCTATGGCAACACTACCTTAATAACAGACATCTGTTCTTTCTGTGTTGACCTCCTTACTTAAACAGATCAGTCCATCCAACTCTAATATTACCCTTTGGTGTAGATGATAATTGGGAGAATACTTACTGCCTCCTATACTTTATACCAGGGGTAGGCAAACTCCTTTCAGCTGCGGTGTAACGACAAATCCCATAAGGCATTGCAAGGCATAGACACTGAGCCACAGACATGACTAGAGACTGATGCGTGATGGGATTTGTTGTTTCACCACAGCTTGAAGGCGGAAGTTTGCCAACCCCTGCTTTATAATTACTCACTACAGTAGGGAAATTTCGTCATAAATCTTCCTCAGGGCCACTAGATGGAGCTGAGTAGCATAGAATTCCTATGTTCCTCAGCACCATCTAGTGGCGTTAATGCTGTGCTAATTAATTTCGGCCAGATGTAAGCTGGACGGAAGACTTATAGGACAGCCCCAATCAGTATATTGCTTATGTTCATGAGCAGCAGCCTCACTTCTTCTGCTTTATTCCCTTAGCTAAAGGTTACAGTGGACAACCAGACAAATCTTGTTGATATGATACACATTCATGCTGCCCAACACAACAAAAAATGGTTTAGTCTGGAGCTGCATTTAAAATTCAGCAGGAAGAATGACAATACTTTAAAACTACTGCCATAGGTGAATAGATCCAAGCCTTTACATGCTGTGATTCTACCACAGAGCCCCCAACAGATATGTCAATGAGTAATTCAACCTACCAGCATCTCTTAACTGATCACGTAGCACTCAGCTAAATCTTAGGATGGCAGGATTTCTTTCAAGTTAAACATGGCTAATGCTTTAAAGAAAATCCCCTCACAGGGCTGAATTCTGAATATGCAAGGGAAAATGATGGACAATGACCATGTATACTGTCCAATGACCATGTACACTGTTCAATGTGATGATAATTCAATCCTAATTGCCACCACTCATATGATTCAATGTCAGAAAGTAGTAATCAGGAAAATGATCAGGAATGATCTGGCCACATATACAGAATGGCTCTGGTCTATAATCACATAATTGTAGTTTCCCAGTGTATGGCCAGATTTAGTATCAGTAATAATTGCATTAATTCATATATGGGAGTACCAATGTAGGTTACCATTCTAGTATTCATTACATATTTATTATTTATTACAGATATTTATATAGCTCCGACAATTTACACAGCGCTTTACATACTGCACATTCACATCAGTCCCTGCCCTCAAGGAGCTTACAATCTAAAGGTCCCTATCTCACATGCATACATACATAACAGGGACAATTAACCTTCCAGCATGTCTTTGGAGTGTGGGAGGAAAGCGGAGTACCCGGAGGAAACCCACACAGGCACAGGGAGAACATGCAAACTCCTTGCAGATAGTGACCGAGATTCAAACCGGGGACCCCTAGTGCTTCCAGGTCAGAAGTGCTAACCACTACGCACTAACATTATGCAATGTTAACAAAATTAACAGTTTAATACAAACTTTAAGAGCTAACAGTACACTGAGACTCTTTTTTTTCAATTTCATCCTGTATTTTGAAAATGTTTTATTTTATGTATAGCTAAACCTTTTTTTAGATAGGGTAGGGGAAGGGTTAGAACTCCTGTCAGGTTTTACTTGTTGTCCATGTCCCGCTAGGTATACACACCCTCTGTATTTGTCCTGGTTACCATAGTCATTAACACATTATGTGATGGGAAATCCAGAACTTTACAGTTGTCACCAGAAGAAGAGGTGAGGGTAAATCTTCCAATGAAGGCACTTGTTCAAGTGACAAATGAATTACCCTCACTTTGTAGAGATTTCCTCTTACTTCCTGTTGCATCTCCACGACAGGAACTGAAGGGAAATCTCACTAATTGGACACAGACTGCAAAAAAATAAACTGATGGGTTTTAACCTTTTGCTACTCTTTCTAAAACTAAAAAGAAAACTTTTGTCTATACAGGGGTACGCAACCTCGGCACTCCAGCTGTTGTGGAACTACAAATCTCATGATGCATTGCAAGACTCTGACATCCACAGGCATGACCCACAGAGGCATGATGGGATTTAGAGTGCCAAGGTTGCCTACCCCTGGGCTAACCTACATTTGAAATGGAAAAACAGAATGAAATTTAAATATAAACCATTACAGATCATAAACATATCTTTACACAATGCCACCTGACCAGGATATGTTCAAAACCAGTAACGCCTAACAGTTATCCAGAAGTGCTGTTTGCTGATCCTCGTCTGATTTCATGATGCTAACATCTGATTGGCTGTTACAGATTAGCATACTTTGGACTAGGGATGTTCAGATACCAAGTGCCGTACTCGGTACAAGTACATGTACAGATACTTTTCCAGCTCCAAGACTACACTAGAGAAAAATTCAAAAGTTAGGAGGCAGCTGTCATTTCTAAGGAACATACAGAGCTCCTGAGATTTGTACGTCTCTGTTTTAATGAAATATTTGTCCAAGTACTCACAGATACAAGTACTGATACATTTTTGTTTATTGTCATGTGGCAGTTTTTCTAAAACAATACAGACTAATGATTTCAGGACAGTGGTGGAGCGCCAGAGCCAGGTCCCAGCTGCAAAAGCTACAACCCTGGTAGTTCTCATGAAAATGTCAAGTATCGGCACTGGTATCGGCACTGGTATCTGGACATCCCTACTTTGGACATTATCCTTATCATTTGCACTGTCTTATGGAATAGGTCTAATTGTGCCTAAAATCAGCCAGTACAGAATGAAGAATATTTTTGTTCTGGCTTTATTTGTAAAAAGTTTTGTAACATAAATATTGTAATACATTTTAATAAACAGAAATGTGTGTTTTCTTTTAAAGTGGTAAATCTTTTGGAATAGTATGTATTTTTTTTTAATTATGTGATAAATATGTAAGGTGACCATTATGAACAATAAGTCAAAACCAGAACCCACTAAACCTTTCAAGTTGTTTGTGATGATCGGGGCTATTAGAACATATCCCATATTTATGTACAACTCTGTAACCTTCCTTTAAAAAATGCTATCTCTGTTTTCCAACACAGGAGACATTAAAAAAGAACTATGAGGTGAGTGAAAATCACTCATCCTCATAGTTCGGGTTGACACGTGACATTGAACCTGTCACGCGTCGGCTCAATAGATCGGGAAGTGAACGAACACATACCGTCACTCACTCACTTCCCGATCATCTCCCTGCAGAGAGCTGTGACTGGAGGAATGGAAGGGGCGGGTACAGCTGGCTCTGCCTCTAGATAGGCTGAACCAGCTGTCTCTCATGCAGCTGGGTGGATCCAGACAGTATTGTCGAAGATCCACCCCGGCTGCGGCGGTCTCAGTATATAGCGAGCAATAGCCTGATATATACTGAGCTTTGGGTCATGGGAGGACGCTAGTATTTGTCCTCCCGTGACCCTTAAGAGAACTATGTGGAAAAACACTTACCCCATAGTTCTCGTTTAAAGGAACTCATATGAAAATGATTTTATTTTTTTTAAATTTTAACTTTGAGATGCATACAGGGAGCTGTAGTAGGGAGTAGTTCACTTTTTAGACATTGCTGTAACACACCAGTACAATTCACTTTTATCTGTAATCCTGGGACACGCATGGTAGTGATGCTGTAATACCTTTTTTACATGTCTATCACATAAGAAGCCTGATCTAAATACATTCCAGTACAAGGGAGATTTTTATAGCCAACAATCAGATTTAAATGTCCCTTGAAACTCTTAAAGTGACTTAACTGCTTGGATCTCTGCACAATACTTCTCATTGTTTTGTGTACAGAACCCTTTTTCTTTAACCACAGACCCCAGCTGCCCTCTGAGAGATCCAGCATCCAGCTAAGGGCTTGTTCACACCAAGCGCGGAGCAGATCCAGAGCAGAGCAGGTGCAGACCGGATCAAAACTGCGTCCAATGTATTCCTATGGTATTTTGAGCTCCAGTTCACATCGCACCGCGCAGATCCAGAGCAGGTGAAAAAACTGCGGCAAGCCCTATTTTACCTGCTCTGGATCTGCTCTGGAACATATCAAAAATGCATGCAAAACGCAAAAACGCATGCAAGTGCCTGAAAGCCCATGTTAAACTTAAAAAAAAAAAAAATTCGCAAAAACAGCCCGGAAAGCATCAAAAACGCATAGAAAACGCGGCACAACACACTGCACTGTGTGTGCAGAAACCTGACTGGATCTGCTCTGCATTTGGTGTGAACAAGGCCTAAGTCTCTACACTCTCCAAAAAGTCTCTTCTGGTACTCCCTTTAAATTACTATTTTCTCTCACCTGAAAACATATTTTGGCAACGTCCTCCTTTTGAAATCCAAGTCCTGCTGTGTGATGTTCAACCTCTCTACAGTCTCCATTTGATTTTCCAAACTTGTAATATGAGTTTCTATCTAAATGATCCAATCAATTTGTATCCAATCAGACAGACCCTTAGGGTGCCCACACACTTTACGATAATCGCGGGAAATCCCGCGATCGTACGATTATCGTAAGGTGTGTGGAAGCCGTGCGACCTCTACTACTGTAAGGTCGCACGACTTTAAACTTACGAACATGTTCGAAAACCCGCCGAGCATCGTACGATGTTTGGCGGGTGTGTAGCATGTTCGTAAGATAAAAGCCGGACGGGCCGGTGTGCACAAGCGCACACTGCCCGTTCGGCATTGCGGTCATCGGAAGCCCACCCCTCAGGGGGGCGCGGCATGCGATCATCGCAAGTACGATCTGCCTGTCCAAGATTAAGTACCTTACAACCGTCGCAAGACAAAAGTCTTGCGATGGTTGTAAGGTGGTAGCCCAGCATTACACTTCACACTCAATGGTAGATATAAAGGCGATTGCTCAGTCAAATTGTAATGTGTGTGATGAGCTTAAGGGCTAACTCCACCTTCTGCAAAAAATAATATATGCACCCACATTGAATATAAAACTGTGCATGTATTAACTTTTTGCATTGGAGTCTGCAAAGCA